TCCTTTCTTTCAACTTACCATAGTGTGGCCCCTTTCTCCCTGCATCATGGTATGAAGATTGTCTCCTGGCAGAAGTATGGGCTGACATTTTAGGGTTCTCTTGTTAATGGAACCCCAATGTTTTCCCTTGGTTCTACCTGCTTTGATGTGCTGGCCAAAAGAAATGCACAAACAGGAGTTTGCAGTATAGAAAGAAAAAAGTAGTTTAATATTGAATTGGTCAATATGGAGATGAAGAGCTAGTACTCTAACTAAACCAACTCCCCAGTGGCATGTAGATTACATGTTATATGGGCAAAAATCATGAGACAGTGGGTTGGATTTGTGTAATAGATCATTTCTTCAGGTCTTTGCCAGCATCGCTCTGTCCAGTTGTTACTGGGGCAAATAGGAAATGCATTTCAAAGATACATGCAGAAGAGGATGAGGTATAGTGGCAAGATTTTTTAGAGCAAAAACAGTGGACTGCCCCCAGGTTCCTGATGTCTCATCCATGGCCAGGTGGCTCAGCTCACTCTTGCTGCAGAAGAAGTCCAGCCTCTGGGACTGCACCAAAACCAGGAAGAGGCCAGAAGCCAGAGCTGCCTTGCCATTAGCCTCACTTCCTGTCTCTAGTAGTTCAGCCCAGTCTCTGTTCCCATCTCTCCAGCTTTCGGTACTGTGCATCCTCCTCCTACTTGGCTGCCATACCCAGGCCCCTGTGGCTGCTATGGAGAGAAATGGAGAGTCCCTCAAGCCTTTGTTAAGCTTTGATTATATTACATTGGCCTTAGGAGAGAGTAGGTTTTCTTTCAAACTATCCAATCTCTTTCCTTTTTCTTCCCAGGCTTGTGCTGGGCCCTCCCCCTATCTAGTCTCTTTCCTGAATCTTCTGGGTTCCATGCCCTTATCCCAGGGGTGGGCAAACTTTTTGACTGGAGGGCCACAATGGGTTCTTAAACTGGACCGGAGGGCCGGAACAAAAGCATGGATGGAGTGTTTGTGTGAACTAATATAAATTCAAAGTAAACATCTACACATAAAAGGGTACGGTCTTTTTTTTTTAGTTTTATTCATTTCAAAAGGGCCGGATCCTTGCCCACGGCTGCTCTAGAGTGATGCTTTCTTAATGCAAATAACTCACCTGCATTGGCTTTAAGGTCTTCAGGTGTGACCATGACAACAAATCGGATTGCACGTTCATTTCGAAACATCTCGTAGGACCACCGACGGATAGACCGCATGCATTTCACTGCTGCAATGCCATTGTTGGCAATAAGAACCTGGGAGAGTTAGGGGATGGGAATTGGAGAGAAAAATAGAAAAAGCAAGCAATGATGGAGAGAAAGAGGTGAGACAATTTTTGTAAATCTATCTTATTTTGAAAAGGCAGATTTTCTATAGGAATTTGTATTCCTGGTCTAGGTAGTTAAGAACTAGCTCCCACATGACCAAGGGATATTTTAAAATGTTAGCTAAGGAAATACTTCAATATGTGCCTGACTCAACCTTATTCACAAATTTTTGTGCACCGGGCCTCTAGTCATTACATAAAAGGGTACGGTCTTTTTTTTTTTTAGTTTTATTCATTTCAAATGGGCCGGATCCGGCCCACGGGCCGTAGGTTGCCCATAGCTGCCTTATCCTATCTGACCTTTTTTTTCAGGCTAACCTCCTCCCCTTTTTGATTCCTATTTTGGCTTCTACTGTGCATGCCTCAAAGTTCTGTTTGTCATCTGACTTGTACTGCCCATAAACTTAGTGGAAGGCCTCCCCCTGCCCATCTTGACTTCTACTGTGCATGTGCCCAGCAAAGGAATTTCCCCCCTGGCTGGTTTCACTCCTGCTCCTAGTTTGCAGGACCAGATTGGTTGTTTCCTGGGGAGATTGGAAAGCTGTTCACTCCTGCCTGCTTCTGCACACTCAGGGATTAGTCCCTTTGGCAGAGGATGTGGCTGTCCCCTGGGGTGTCTGTGAAGCTGTAGCTTCCTAGTTAATCCCATTAATTAGATGTCTAGCTCCATTCTCTTTTGTTAATACCTAGCTAGCTACCTATGCTGAACAGTCTTATGGGAAAGTAGCCAGGGGGTTATTCCACCTTAGGGCTCAGGAACTGAGACATAATTTAAGATGTTCATTCTAGCCTGCTAGAGGTCTGGACCATGTGACCCTTAGTCATGTCCGGGCTTACTCTCTTCTGCTGCCTCAGGAGTTGCTGATTATCTGGGCAAACGTCTGGGTGGGTGGGGGATAATTGCTAGAGCTAGGATTTAAAATTTCATCAGTTGTAAGGACCCTCAGTTGCAGTCTTTGTTGATTTTGTATCCCACAGAGATCATAGTTCTTTGCTGCTTATTGTCCAGCATTTAAATATAGTCATTTCATATAATTTGTCCAGTAAGTAGTAGATTATGAATTGTGGTCCTCAGACTCAACAGAGTAGTAGAATAATTTGAAACCTCAGATTAGTGGGTTGTTTGTAGATAGGCAATATTCATCTGGCTCAGGAGTGCCTGGGCATTGACGCTGTCAGCCCCTCCTCCAAACACCCAGTAAGATGTGGTTTCTTGAAACTTAGTTTGACTTAAGAATAAGTGGCCCCTAGTGTTTATAAATACTTTTTATTAGAAGTAGGGATTGTGTGAGTTCTTCCTAAAAAAGAATAAGCTGTAAGTATAAAATAAAGAAGCAAGAAATAGCATTACCCAACAACTGTAGCCCTTTGTTCTGCTGGGTTAGTGATTTGAGAGCCAAGGAAAACTAAATTGAGATGAGCTACATCTGCTTTTTCTTTGGGGGGCCATCTTGCTTCTGTTTGTTCCATGTTCTTAGCTAAACAAAGTAGGAACCTAATCCAAACTGGATTTGATTATATTTTCTGTATTTCTCTTTTTTACCTCTTCTCATTTGAAAATTTTATATTTGTTTTTCATTCTTTAAATGCTTTTTCTTGAAATTATAGCATACACCATTTATTTGACAAAGTCTGAAGTTCATAACTACCTCTATCCTGGTACAACAATGAATGAAAGATTTTTAAATGCTTTTAACTCTGAACCTTTCTATGTTCTTATATTATTTTGTTGTTCAAAACTTCAGTTCTACCTTATTTTATCTCTACCTTAACTTCAATATTGTTATGATTGCTTTGAATAATAATGTTTGTTTAGTTACATGTATACATTTACAAACGTATTTCATCATCATTGCCTATTTTGTTTCATTCATTGCTTTCGAGTTTTTTTCTTAAATTATATTTTTAATAGCTATTTCATCCATGATGCATTAATAGTAACCCTTGGAATGTGGAAAATATTACTTATTTTCCTTCTAGCTTTTCTTGTTGGTGCAAAGTCTGTTGTCATTCCAAAATTCTTTAGTTGTTAATTGATTTTTGTTTGCAATTCAGTGGGTTTTTAAATTGTCTCTTTTTCAGTTTCACTGTTTCTAAGTGTGATTAGTTTTATTTATCCTTTTTGCATTTTTTTATATTTTCTTCATCTGTTTATTCATACTTTTACTCAGTTCTCAATTTTTAGTTGTAATATTTTCGAATATTGTCTCCCCATCCCCAAATCTTCTCAGATATCTCAGAAATTAGGTGTTTTCTGGACTTCTCATTCCAACATACTTTATATTGTTACTGTTTTTCTCTTCTTTGTTTCTTTGTGTGGTCTTTGATTTTCCAGTTTTCATTAGCTTTATCTGTGTGCTATTTAACTCATCCACTGAGTTTTAAATTTCAATTGTGTTATTATTATTAATAAATTTACTTTATTTAGCATTTCTATATATACAGGTATGTAGATTTATTTTTTTTTGTCTTCTTTTGTTCCATAAATCCCTGTTCTTTTTATATGCTTGTCACCTCTTTTTCTTTTTTTCAGCATTTTAAAAACTCTAATATAAATAATAAGGTTTTAAATTTCAATTGTGTTATTATTATTAATAAATTTACTTTATTTAGCATTTCTATATATACAGGTATGTGGATTTATTTTTTACTTGTCTTCTTTTGTTCCATAAACCCCTGTTCTTTTTAATATGCTTGTCACCTCTTTTTCTTTTTTTAACATTTTAAAAACCCTAATATAAATAATAAATCATTTCTAATTGCTCTATTATATCTATTTTCTTGTGCGTTTGCCGATTTTAGCAGTGGTGATATGTAGACTGTCATTCATGGCTTTGAAGTTATTTATATGTTTATTCTTACCTGTAAACTTGACTTCTTTGAGAATTATTTTTCGTGGTGGTATTTCTCCTATCCTTTCTTTCAATTGTGTAAGCCTGTCTGTGTTAGATGATTGTGAACTCTCCAGTGTACATTGGCCATAAACTTGCTTTTACATTATTATTGATTTGTCAGGTCTCTGCAAATATATATGGCCCAAATTTGAGACTTAGGATTCTGATCTCATATAGTTCAGTCTGTCCTGCCCTCACACTGGAACAGGAAGCCTCTTTTCAATAGAACTCTAACCAGACAAGCTCTGGTATTCAGGATTTTATTCAGCAATATTTTGTCTCCCAGCTTTCTGCAGTTAGCCCATGTTTATCTATCAGTCATGAAGGGCCTTGTGCATAAGCTTCCATCCCCACTGAGGTCTCAAGGTCTGAGGCCTCCATGGGCAGTACTTGATCCAGCTCTCTCATGATGGAATGTCAATTCCATTTTACTGGTAAGGGTTCTTTATCTTGGCATCTAGAGATTTACTATCTTTGCTTTAAGTGGTATAAATTAACATTTTTATAATGTTATACATAGCATATTGAGTGTTAGGAAGTGGTCAGATAACTCAATATATGATTTTTAAAAAACATATAGTCTATTTTTTAAGTATTTAACATTTTTAAAAATTTCAGGTCCTCATTAAATACTATTTTAATTGTTAAGATTTATTAATATATTTTTGCTTTTATTTTACTTCAGTTTAGTTCATATATTTTTAAATAGCCTGCTGCCTTTATTTGTTTGTTACATTATTCACTTAAATAATTACTTATGTTAATTTTCATAGGATGAATCTTCAGGAAGAATTGGATAAACTTAAAGTGCATATGTCTATTGACAAAGCAACAATACAAGAACTGAATACATGGATAGCAGAGAAAAAAGAAGGTAAATTTTTTGTGAGAATAAATACTTAATGTAGGCATTTTAAAATTTTTAGTTCGTGATGTTTTATTTTCAATTTCGTCTAAGAATCTTACATTTTCCCCCTTTTGCCATGGCTTTACTGGTTGGTATCTCATTAACATCACTTCTCATGAGAAAATGAAATAGAACACCTAAAAGTCAGTAAGCTTTTAATTTATTAAAAGTTCAAGTAAGATGTTTTATAAGGAGAAAACGTAATTTGTTTTTATTAGTCATTGATAAAGTTTTATTAGTTATGTTTTGTTTAAAGTTTTATAGATAATATAGAGTTACTCTACTCAATATCATTATTTTTGTTTGACATACTTTTTTTTGGAAATTGTTTAGTTCTTATCTATTGTCTAGAATCAAAATTTTAGAGTTGAAATGAAACTGGGGTATCTGCAATTCTGCAACCAGCCTGCCTAATAGCCTAAATGTGTTTTGTAAGAAGGAATGTATCCTTTCCAATGCAAATTTATTCCTTTGTTAAAATCAAGATAACTATATTTACTAAAGACTTCAATCCATGTTTTAGTACCTTATTAGAAAAAAAGTAAATAAGCTTGATTTTACAAAATTTCTTCTTATTTAAGCTTGCTACAGCTTAATTGTTACCAGTATATATTTTAGGGTTGACAATGTATACTCACTAATTTATACTTAATAATTAAATTTTCATGTACCATTTATCAGGCTATTGTACCAATTATTGTTGTTCCAATTGCTCTCACCAGTGACTTGTCAGGCTCAATATTTGAACCCCTTTATTTTACACCATTGATTTATATCATATTTCAAGCTTACTTTTTCACTGATTTCTGAAACATTGGTTTTCCCCTGTTTTACCTTCTACTTTTCTTTCCTATATCTTTTCAGTCTTCTACTAGAACTTATTTATATTTTTTCCCTTAACTATTGGTGTTCTCTAATACTTTAACTTTGATTTACTTCCTAAAAATAATACCTCTGTTGTTTTTGGAAAAATTACACATTTTTTTTAAATTATACATATTTAAAAGCATTCAAGCAATGAGAAAGTATAAAAAGAAAAAAAAACAAAGAAAAAAACTAATTCACAAACACTTAAAAATCAGAATTTCAGTATTAAATAACTAGAGGCCCGGTACACGAATTTGGGCATGGGTAGGGTCCGGCCCACCACCCTGATGGGGACCCAGATCAGGCTGGTTAGCTGCTGCAGTGCACGTCATAGCCATCAGTCATTCTGGTGGTTCTGGTTGTTCCGCCGTTCTGGTCGCTGGGTTTTAGATATAGAGATTATCAAATCAAAAGATCTCTTCATACTAATAGAGAAATAAGTTTAGATAGAGAAATTACATAAAATGAATCATAATATATGCTCTTTTTAAGAAAAGATATTTGCATATATTTTATTTTGGATCAATCAAATAAAAGCAAACATAAAAGTAAAGGAACTGTTGTTGACCTTTAGATAAATGTTTGAAAAACATGTAAAAATAATAATTAAAATGTAATAAAACACTTGAATATGGAAAAAATGTTATTTAAAACTAGAGGCCCAGTGCACAGATTCGTGCACTGGTGGGGTCCCTCAGCCTGGCCTGCACTCTCTCGCAATCCGGGACCCCTCAGGGGATGTCAGACTGCCTGTTTTGGCCTGATCCCCACAGGCCAGGCCAAATGTTACTTCAAATGAAATGGATTAAATGTTCCGATCAAGAGACACGCAGGGACTGAATGGATAATATAAAAAGACCCTTACATATGCTGTCTGCAAGAGACTCATTTCAGATCAAAAGACACACACAGATTGAAAGGAATTGGGAAAATATATTTCATGGGTCTCTGCTAACTCTGGGCAGTTAGTAACAGAATTGAATTGAATTAAAATGTAGGATATTGCAATACATTTCTTTAACATTTCTTGCAATACCAGTTTGGTAGTGATCAACTCCTTTAGCTCTTTTTTGTCTGGGAAGCTCTTTAATCTGTCCTTCAATTCAAAATTATAGCCTTGTTGGATAGAGTAGTCTTGGTTTTAGGTGCTTGCTTTTTATCACTTTGAATATTTCGTGCCAATTTCTTCTGGCCTGCAAAGTTTCTACTGAGAATTTATCTGACAGTCTTATGGGAGTTCCCTTGTAGGTAACTAACATTTTTTCTCTTGCTGTTTTTAAGATTCTCTCTTTGTCTTTAACCTTTGACATTTTAATTACAATGTGTTTTTGTGTGGGATCATCTTTTATAGGATTCTCTGAGCTTCCTGAACTTATATGTCTATTTCTTTCACCAGGCTAGGGAAGTTTTCCATCATTATTTTTTCAAATAGGCTTTCAATCCCTTGGTCTCTCTTTTCTCTTCTGGTACCCCATGGTGTGAATGTTAGTACACTTGAAGTTGTCCCAGCAGGTACTGTCCTCATTTTTTTGGATTCTTCTTTTCTTTTGCTGGTCTGATTGGATGTTTTTTGCTTCCTTACTTCCATATCACAGATTTGATTTTCTGCTTCATCTACTATTGATTCCTGGTAATGTATTCTTCATTTCATTTATTGTATTCTTGATTTCTGACTGGTTCTTTTTTATGTTTTCTATGTTCATTTTATGTTTTCTATCTTTTTGTTGAAGTTCTTACTTAGTTTCTCTATACTTCCACTAAGTTTATTAAAGCATCTTTGTAACCAGTGATTTGAATTCTGCATCTGGTAGATTGCCTGTCTCTATTTTATTTAGTTCTTTGTCTGGAATTTTGTCCTGTTCTTTTTTTTTTAATATATTTTATTGATTTTTTACAGAGAGGAAGGGAGAGGGATAGAGAGTTAGAAACATCGATGAGCGAGAAACATCAATCAGCTGCCTCCTGCACACCTCCTACTGGAGATGTGCCCGCAACCAAGGTACATGCCCTTGACCAGAATCGAACCTAGGACCCTTCAGTCCACAGGCCTACGCTCTATCCACTGGCCAAACTGGTTAGGGCAGCCTGTTCTTTATTTGGGATATGCTTCTTTGTCTCCTCACTTTGGCTGCCTCCCTGTATTTGTTGCTATGTACTGAGTAGAGCTGTTATGTCTCACTTGGTAGAGTGGCCTTATGTAATAGGTGTTCTGAAGGGCCTCCTTGGTAACCTGACTGAGTATTCCAGTTGTGCCCCTTGTGTGGGCTGTGTATGTCTTCCTGCTGTAGTTAGCCTTGATTGCTGTTGACACATCAATGGGAGGGATTTACCCCAATCTGATGGGCTATGAGGACACTCTTGACTACAGTGGAGGAGCTGCTTTTCAGGGTTCAACCCCACAGAGTAGGACTCGCTTCAGTGGGGCTCTGGTGCCTGATGAGTTTGCCCCTTGAGTGTGTCGCTTGTGGAAGTAGTTGTGGAAGTACTTTGATGTGATCTGAAACTAATCACCAGGTTCACTAGCTCTGAGGCCTTTAAGGAGGTGCAGGTAAATGTCAGCTGCCACCTGTGCCCTGCCCGGGGCCAGCCAGCATGAGCTACAGAGCTATCTGCAGAGGGTTGCTACTTGGGCTTAGCTTGTAAAGGCCAACCTGTAAATCAAAGATGGTTGCCACTAATGCTGCTCCTAGGACCACTTAGCATGAGGTATGGGGCATGTCAAGGCCAGATGTTGCTTGTTTGGGGCTTGTGAACCTTTCAGAAATTTTAGGACAGTTGCAGCATGAGCCAAGACAGGCCATTTATATGGAAAAGCCACTGGAAACAGCCTGGGTGGGCCTGGCATGAAGGTTGGGGAGGAGACAGGTATTTCAGGAAATCACCAGGGCAGAGCGAACAATGTTAGCCTGGTTTTTGGAAACTCAGATATAGTGCTCTTTAGCCAGCTCTGTGGGGGGAGGGCTTAGAGAGGAACAATCGCCTCTGCCAGCACTTCTGTCTGGGAGAAAGCTGCCCCTTCAGCTGTTGCCCCAAAGCCAGACAGCTCAGTTCCTGGAACCCAGTATATCCCTGGTACCTTTCGAGCTGCTGCCCGAGTGCTGGAGCTCAGAGCAAGTGAGTCCCAGTATGTCTGTACATGGGCACTTTAAGAGCAATTCCTTGCACTCAGCCACAATCCCCACTGATTTTCGCAGCCAGAGGTTATGGGGACTTCTCTTCCTGGCACTGGAACCCTGGTGTTGGGGGTTTGGTGTGCGGCTCTGACCCCTTGCTCCTCAGGAGAACCTCTGCAGCTGAGATATCCCTCCTCATTTTTAATCACCACACAGGGTGTGGGATCAGCCCATTCTGAGTCTCTGAGCCCCTCCTATGAGTCTCGATGTAGCTTCTTCTTTATATATTTAGTTTAGGACTTCTGTTTAGCTAGACTTGAGGCAGTTCTGAATGATGGTTGGTCTGTAGTTTAGTTGTAATTTTGAAGTGGTTGTAGGAGGATGCAAGTAACACATTTACCACCATCTTGACCAGATCAATTTAAATTAATTTTTAATGTAATCCAAAAGAATTAAGAGAAAAGAAAAAAAAAAACATAGAAGCTAGAATAAAATAAATTTAAACAACTCTGAATAAGCAAATCTAAAAGTTAAAAACAAAGAAAGTGGAGCAAGATGGATCTCCTTAAAAATTCTTTTAAATCAGAATGTGTTTTTATAGTAGTAATAATAAAAGGAAAACATATAGAATGAAATTTTAAAAATAAGTCTCCAGTAAGGTGATTTCCACTGTAGGAGAAAGAATTGAAGTATATATTTCTAACTACTCCTCTTTGTTCATTTTCCAAATCATGAGATCCTTGACAGGAAAAAGAATCAAGGGGCAAAGTGTTGGTTTCTTGCTTTTCTCCATGCCTTGGGCTTAGCTACTTGAGTATTATTTATGAAACCTATGAATGCAATAAATAAACTTTTTAGCAGACAACAATAAGTGAACATGGTCAGCCAGACCCACCAGTGGGCTTGCTCATACCCAGGAGCACATAGGAGCAACCAAATTTATTTTTAATTCAATCGTCAGCCTTGATTTTAATGGAGTTATTTAATCATTGTTAGTACTCTATGTTCTTTGAGTATAGAACTATTTTCTTTATATTCTTGAGAGTAAATATCACACTTAGAACTCTAGCAGATATTTAAATGACTAGAACAGATGAATAGTATTTGCATATTATTTTTATATTCCTGAAAGAGTGTTGTAAATGAATTCAGCACCATGGTGTTAGGGGACTAGAAAAAGAAACTTGGGAACTAATAGATTATTATCAAGGTAAAGGTACATATTCCCCAGATGGAAAATTCTACCTATTCTAGCTTTTATTTTCCTTAGGATAGTGTTCTATTTATTTCATAATTACAGGAGTTTTAATTGGATATGTCATGTTTCAAAGACAAAAGAAATGCCTAATTCACTCTAACAAACTTGTTAGTCACTGTTTATACCAAGAGGATTTCTACTCTATAGAGAATAATATTGTTTTCTTTTTCCTTTGTTGATAAATCAAAGTTTTACACTGACCTGCAGCAGCCATGCAGACTTTAAAGCAAAATCATTTCAGTCTAACACAGATATGTATATCCTTTTAGGTTTATGTATTCTTTTTCTGTCCCCTTTTTGATTCTTTGTGAAATATTTCATCCCAAAAATAGTTCAGTAAGAAAATGTTAGTTAAATTTGTTATAGTCATTTATCACATAACAAAAATTTATTTATAGGTTTTAATGCATTTCAATTTTAATAATATTAACTGAAGTTTTATGATTTTTATTAAAGTTACCATGTTACTTATGTATTTCTGTTGATTAAAAAGGTTTCACAGTCAAATGCATGGTGAGTATAGGAATGATTTCTAGAAATAACTTAATCCATTACCTGGATTTTTATTTGTTACGAAGTCATAGTTTTTCTGTAAATGTGATATTTATAATTTACTCTGCCCAATGCATAATCTTTTACTTGGAAAAAAGGGGGTGATAGAGTATGTTACAGTTTTAGTACACCCTAATTCTGTTACTGTTTGCTTTGTTCAGCAATCGCTCTGATCCTCATGGCAGGGAACAAGATCCAGAGAACAAAACAGTAGTGACTTGTGTAGATAAAAAGACCATGAATTCCGCTTTTAAGGCAAAGGGGGAATAGTCTACAATAGAATGAAAATCGGAATAAAAGTACAGCATTGTTAACCTGCAGATCTGTTGTACCTTTGAAAATCTTATACTGCAAAAAAAAAAAAATTGACACTAGAAAGATACATAATTATGTTACTAAAAAATCTTAAGATCAGCATTTATTTATTGGCCATATACTTGACAATAAACTAGACTATTCCTAATTGAAAAACTGTAGAACTCTTTTCCTTAAAATTACAGGACAGTGTTTTAGTAGTGAATAAGGTGCCATAATGTATTATTTATTCTCTACCAGAACAACTCTTTAGACATGGTGAAGATGATGGGGTCAAGAAGAGTACTCCAGAGAAGAATGGGAAAGAAATGTCGGAGCAGACATTACAGAAGGTAGTCTAATCTTTAAGATATTGAACTGAGCAAGTTAAATCTGAATTTTAACGTAAAGGATTATATTTTAAAATGTGGGTGCATGAACTTAAACCTTGTGTGAATCCTTAATTTAAATTCATAATTCAAAATTATTGACTTGCCAAAATGGGGTAAAAAAAATCAATGTTAGTGAAATAAATGTAGAAACACTTATGCTTCTGTTGACATAGATTAAAAATATTTGTGAAGGTGAAATGAGAATGACAACAATAGAAATTATAAAAAATTTCGCTATGTGTTTATTAGTTATAACTAAGCAGTTTTACTTTAAAATGGGACTGAGACTCTGTTATTCACTTCAGCAAGCATAGAGACTTACAATATTTGTACTAAAAATATGAGATACTTAGCTTCAGCACAGTAAAATGATAATATATTATAAACTTGGAAATATAATGACTCAGCTCATTTTGGATGAAAATTTATATCCATATCATTTAGTATAGTTATTCCTATTTTAATAGAACCATCTGTGTAAATAAACCCTGTAGTTACTTTACATAGTACCTATCATTAATAGTAAAATGTTATTTAAACATCTTAACATTTATCTTTACAGTTTTACACTTAATTTATATGTTTGTGTATAAATACATTTTTATCAAGTTAAATTAAGTGGGATTGGTTGCATTTTAGCAGTTTTATTATTGTTACAAAGAAAATCTTCTTTAAATAGGTTTATTCTTCTAACTGATTGTCACTTGGCTACATAATACTTAGGTAAAACTGACATATCAACAAAAATATTAATGTGGCTACCTACATTTCTTACATCTGTGAATTGACTTGTAGGAAACCTAGTGATTTACAGCAGATGATGGATTTATTATATTGTACTTCTAATACTTGCCATACGATCAGGTAACAAAGGCTGTAATGTCACTATTACTGAATGACCATTACCAGGTTAACATAATAATAAAGAACAGGAAGTGCTTACATTTATTTAACTTAAGGTAAAATGAATAATTGAAATAATGTATACACTACCAGTTAGAATGCTATACACTTTATCCTAGCTTACCTTCTCTCTTTCAAAACAATATTTTTTGTTTTCCAGGTTTTGTATAATTTTTATCTCTATGGATATATAATATTATGCTACTATTTACTGCTTTGGGGTAGAAACCCTAAAGAAATCCATAATTTCATTCCAACTGTTATAAATAACTACTAATGTTGTGGATTCAGAAATCTAAGTACTAAAATGCCAACAGGAATTATTTTCATTGGACCATATGTCAAATTAACATACAAATTTGTCACTTTTTTCTATATTAACCTATGCAATTGTTTAAGTCATGATTTATCCCCTTTTAGTTGAGTTACCTTATTTTAAAAGGATGTACTTTGTGGGTGGTCTCAAATTATTTCAAACTGAAATCAATTAAAGCCCAACAAACTCAGGAAGAGTGTTTTTGTTTGTTTGTTTTGTTTTTCTTTTAACGCCCTCTTTTCTTCTTAGAGATTCAGATAGAAAAAAACTGCTTCAGGAAGGGATCCCTAGCATAATCACCTGAGCATATTCACTTTAGCACATATGAATTATGATAGTCAGGAGGGAACCATGCAAATATCTGTTCACTAAATTTCCCTCTGTCCCATTTTTTCTGAGTGCCTATCAATAATTTTTTTGTCACTATCTCAGCTACCTATGAGTTTGCCTATTTCTCCTTTGAAATATCAAGCTCCTCCCCTTTCTCCTTTGTCCAAAATGACACATATACCTCATTTTGCCACAATCTTCGTAATTTTCACACATATGAATTCCGCATGCACACGTATTAAAATTTTATTTTCTCCTCTTGATATGTGTCTGTTAGTTTGATTATTAGTCCAGCTAGAAGCACTTAGAAAGTGGGAGGAAAATTATTTTTTAATGCCCCACAATTCATATGAAACTTATTCAAAATGGATTTAAAAGATTGTAACAACATGAAAACAATATTTGTGCACAATAGAAATGAAACTATAACTAGATTATTTTAAAATAATATATTAACATCACACACTGTTATGGAATGAATTGTGTCTCTACCCTCCCTACCCCCCACATCTTTATGTCAAAGTCCTAATTCCTAGTATCTCAGAATATGACTGAATTTGGAGATGGGGGTCTTCAATGAGTTTAGTCAAAAGGAGGTTATTAGGATTTAAACTACCCAGTCTGTAGTACTTTGTCATGACACTCCTAGTAAGTATATAATACATACACATTACAAAGTGATGTGTTTTATTTGTTTTTAAAGGAGCCATCTTTTTGGTAAATTTAAAAAAAATTTCAGTATTGGAGGAAAAGTATGGAGTTGGTTGATTTATAGCACACAAACCAAATGCCTTTAACAATTCCTCAGACTTCCATTCTCAAAAATTATTGAAATTTTCCTTTTCCATTTTTGGAGGTCTTAAAATAAGTTGAAGAACAATTTTTGAGAGTATACCTTGAATAACATAAGCATGCTATGGACTTTCCCCTTCAAAGTCTTTGGAAGTAGTTTCTTGTGTTTTGTTATTTGGCCTCCATTTTAAACGTAAATGCAAATAAATTTGGCCAGTTCTTGTGATTAGACATTGATTCATATTAGAGAGTCAACACACTTTAAACATAATAGACTTTGACAGACATTTTTCCATCAGTATATAATATTTTTATGAGTTGTACTCACACTTAAATGGATTTTAGTTAAAAGAAAAAAATCATGCTAATCTTCAGAATTGCAACCTCAAATTTAAGATGTTTATTTGTTACATTATATTTTAATCAAAAGTATAAAGTTGATTTAATGCCTAATTCAGCAATATTCGGTATAAATAATTTTATTTCAGCTCAAGTAATTTTCTAAAATAACTGTAAGAATGAATAATTGAGATAATGACGATGATGATGATGTGATAAACTATAAAACTTACTGTCTGCCAAAAATTGTGGTATATGGTCATACAATAACTAGTGGCCCAATGCACAAATTTGTACACCAGTAGGGTCCCTGACTCCAGTTCTTTGTCCATTTTCCATATATAGGGTGGGACAAAAGCATGGAAAATAATACTATAGTTAATAATAATATAAGAATAAACTCTGTTTCACATACAACTATAAACTGTATAGTTAACCCACCCCATATACCTGTAACTCTTCTTCCCTATATGGTTTGTATAACAGTGAGAGGGGCAAAAATCCTGAATTTGAAACCCAGATTAAACTAGGAAATATTTACCTTTATGTGGTACTTCACTTTTCAGAGCCTCCATTTCCTCTTCTTGGAAGATAATTGTTGGTTCTCTTTATCTCACATGGTGAGATAATCAGAAGAGGTCTTTTTTAATGATAAAATTTACTTTCCAAACAATAGTGATTTTTCAAGATTTAAATTGAAATCAACTCCTCATTGGAACTCATTGCTTAGAATTAATTCCTCTTTCTTTTTACTCAGACTTATGGCACTTAGATCCTATCCTTTATTAGGTTTATTTATGCAAGTGTCTTTCCAAATAGTTTTTGAAATTTTTTAATGTCAGGATGTTGTCATTTTTTGTGTCCTTCAATGAACATTGTCTATTGAAATAAATGAAAAAATTTGATTCATATGCAACCTTTAAATAATTGTACTTTAAAGTTGTCAGGCTTTTTTTTGGTAAAATGTTCTTTTATGTGTAAACTAAGAACCTTAGACTATGAAAATTATATTTTTATACTTTAGCAATAAGCATCCTTCATAATTATTTTATAAATAGGCCATCAGTTTTTCATATGATTGTTAAATATTGAAGAATGTTATTTTATTAATAAAGTTTCTCTATGTGCCTGTTTTGTATAAATTGTTTTGTTCTGAAAAAATTTTTATTCACAATGAGTAGATTATATTGCTAAAGCCCTTAGGATCTCAGAAAACTCAGCTAAGTTTATTAGCACACATTTCTGTGTCATTTTGTATAAAATTGTAACTTCTTTTACCATCTGTCCTTTGTATTATTACATTTTAGACTGTATTACATTTTAGAATGTACCTAAGAAATTAAGTAGTTTGGATTTATATTGTCCTTGTGCTTAATGTAATTTTATTTACTTACCTAAGACATGGTAATAAAATACAATAGATTATGGGTTTTGACTTTGAAACGAATAAATTAAACTCTTCTGTTTAGGTCATTGAGTTGGAAAATCGGCTAAAATCTTTTGAGAAAAGGTCGAGAAAATTAAAAGAAGGGAATAAAAAATTAATAAAAGAAAATGATTTCCTGAAATCCCTCTTAAAACAGCAGCAAGAAGAGGCAGAGACCAGAGAAAAAGAGCTAGAACAACTACAAAAAGGGAGTAAAGATGTAGTAAAAAACAAAGCTGAACTTCAAGTAAAAATCAGTGAGCTAGAAAGAGAAGTCACTTCCCTAAGGAGACAAGTGGCAGAAACTAATGTGTTAAAAAGTAAAAATGAAGAGCCGATTAATTCAATGGAGAAATTGCAGCACTCAGTAGACAAAGCTAAATCTGAGATGGACACCACAGAAGTAAGATCTGGGCAATATGATTGTAAAACAACCACTACCAAGGTGAAATTTAAAGCCGCCAAGAAAAAGTGCTCTGTGGGTCGTTACCACACTGTTCTCAATCACTCCATCAAGGTTATGAGCAATGTGTTTGAGAACCTCAGCAAGGACAAGGACTGGGAGGATGTGAGTGAAAGCAGGTAAGACTCTCATTAACTTAGCTCTGTGGTGGGGACACTGTGCATATGTAAAGCACCAGCAAATGGAGATTGAATTTAAACTACTGTCGATTTGGTATTCAGAAAAAATACTGTCAGATCCTTTGAAATATCTTGGGAGGTCTTGTTCTGAGCTTATTGACTAAAATTTGCATGCAAAATTAGCCACAACTGCATGAGTATTTGAATAGGTGCCAGGAAACCCAAAAGAAGGCAATGCTTGATTTCTTCCAGTGATGCTATTTTCATGCAGTCATGAGGCTTGAAATTGACAGTTTGGCAGGTTGATTTAATTTGCTGGCCCTTTGCATATTCACACTGACAGCTAAGGATTCCCAGGCAAGCCTACTAAGTCGGTTTAGTTATCTTGTGACATGCCAACCTGGGAGGAGAAACATTTTCCCCCTTAATTTAGTTAGATAAATTTTGAATGACCCATTTCAGCTTGTTACCAGATGTCTACAAGCTGTTTAACATCCTTTAAATTAAGAACCATCTTCACTAATTATTTCATGTATGTATTATGCAAAGTCATTGTACTAACTTTAATTGAATGATGGTTAAAATTTAGTTCTTTAAAGTTATAGCTCTGCAGATTCCTAGTCTTAAATTATACAACTCCTAGTGAGTAGCAACAGGAGAATACTAAAAATCTATAATATTTTCCCTTATCTTTGGCTATACATTCATATGTGCACTTGAAGCACATCAGTAACCACAAAGATAAATGGATAATCGACACCTCTTTGAGACTTACATAGAAGTTAATGTTGTCAGAATTGTTAATAGACAAATTAAACAATTTTCCATAATTCTGATTCCAGATGAAGTGGGGTCCTCTTCCCCACTGGGTGTTGCTGGGGGTGAAGTTCTTATGATATCCAGAGAAAAAGAATTTTCTGAAACTCATGGGAGAACGAGTGATTTTTAATTAATTAATTCCATGAGCTTCTAAAGTCCCATTTCCCTTCCTTTGTCCAGTCATAGAAGAAGTATAGCTGGGGTTTCAGTAAAGCTAAAATCAAAGCCAGCATCCAGAGTTTCCTTTCCAGTTTAGCATCAGACCAGTTGCAATCCATTGGTCCATTATGTATGGGGTCCATACGGCCATGGGTGAATGGAGGGAAGCAGGAACAAAAGAGCCCCATAAGGCCAAAGTCATACAAGTCCCAAGTGTGACTGAAAGCAGGCACCTTCCCTGGTCATCCCAGCTTTACTGGGCATGTGTCAATCATCCCTTTGTTGGACCTCTGCAGAATGTAAAGTTGTAGCTTTCTGATGAAACTGTCTGAATGACATGCTTGTAATATCTGGCCTTCCCTTTGCTCCTTTCTTGTTATCAATAACTAGCTAATTACAATGGTATCAATTTTGTCTTGTTTTATAATGGCATATATTTCCTTTTATTTTCCTAAGTATTTTTTTTAAATCCTGAATACTAGTATGTTTTAGATTTAGGATTGGGGAGGAGGGGGATACAAAAAATATAACTTTATTTCTACCTTCTAAGTTCTTCTATCTGGGCTAACAGTCAAATTAATATAGACAGATTAAAAGGAGAAAATATTCAAGACTTATTACTATGGTTGTACACGCGGGGCATATCATAAGATATGAGACCTAAAAGGCATTGAACAAGTGAAGCTTATGTGCTATTTTGGACAAAGGAGAAGTGGGGCAGGCGTCTGTGATTCCAAAGGAAGTAGGTGATTAACAGGTAGGAGAAAGAACAAACATATGGTCAACAAATTCTTGCTGGGCCATAGTGCGACACAGAAGGAAAAAGACTTTGCTAGATTTCTTCCTCTCTGTCACATATGTGCTAATTCATAAGGTGAATATGCTAAGATTCTCTTCCTGAAGCAGGTTTTTCTATCTGAATTCCTTTAGGCATAACGGTGGAGGATTACAGGTTCTTTCTGAATCTTGTTTCTTAATAACCAGCTTAAAATCAATATCACAAATGTCACATTTAGGGATGACAAAACTTTGGTCCCCTCAGGATGTCTCTAGGTAGTTTTCTTAAGCATAGACAGAACTGAAACTTACCTTAAAATGTAGTTCTCAAGCTTGTGTGCATATTAGAATCACTTGGGGATCTCATAAAAATTCCAAAAGCTCATATCACACCCCAGTACAATTCATTCTTAACTTTTGGAATGGGATACAAGCTTCAGTATTTTTGAAACTCTCTAGCCCAGTGGTCAGCAAACTCATTAGTCAACAGAGCCAAATATCAACAGTACAACGATTGAAATTTCTTTTGAGAGCCAAATTTTTTAAACTTAAACTCTATAGGTAGGTACATTGTTATTAACTTAATTAGGGTACTCCTGAGGCTTAGGAAGAGCCACACTCAAGGGGCCAAAGAGCCGCATGTGGCTCGGTTTGCCGACCATGGCAGCCGATTCCAATATGCAGAGAAGTTTTGAAACCACTCTTAAATGATCATTGGGTCAAGCCCTTTGTCATCAGGCAGGTTATGAAAGTACAGAAGAAGGACCAAATCTGCATTTCTATTCTTTGTGACCTCTTCTAAGGTTTTCCCCCCTGTTCTCAAAAAGCAGTTAGAGATAAAATACTATTTAGCTTAGAACCCACTAAACACTTATTTATGTCTTCAAGGAAATTCTAGTTTCAGCTACGAATTATATCTCATCCAGTTGGTACTACCACACTCTTTGTAATATTGCAGTCCACTTTACTCATGTGTGAGTATGTATGTATGAATACGTATATGAAAGTTACATAATACACTCAATTCTATTTTTATCATATTAATGCATGTGCAGAAGATCACATTTGGGGAGATATATCACACACTGTCTCTTAAAACATAGTGTTGTCATTTAAGTTATTGAGCAGTGAAACTCAATTTTATACTGTGAGGATTAGTGTTCCATTTCTTGCCTGACAGAAAATCCTTAGGAATTATTCAGCTGCAAAGAATTCTTCAACAATTAGAAATCCCACAGTGGAGCCTAAGGACTTCAGAACATTCTATTTATTTTAGCTTTTCATAATCTGGAATATAAGAAATTTACTTGGATACTTAGAAAAATAGAACTTTATCCTTTATATATAAATATATTATATAATTAGTACCTTATTAGTATTTATTTCCTATAGTTGCTTAGTATTATAAGTGTATGCTGTCAAATGACAAAAATAATACAATTTAGTAATGAGTTTAAAGTCCTTTATTCAGAGGACAACACCCATGAATTAGTGGGTTACTGAGCCTAACAATCAGTGGAGCACTATTCCTGAGGGAATTTTGACAAGAGATAGTTTTATAGAGCATTAGAAGAGGCAAGGAAGGAACAGGGAATGATTGGCTAGGAGGTTGAATATTTCCTAATAAGGCTAGCACATCTTATTTTTCAAGGTAAGTTAAAGCTGAGTTGAAGGATTGTGATTGGGGTAGGTTAGATTTCCTTGACAGTGAAGTGTGGGGTGGAAAAATTAATTTTTCTTTACCATTCTAAATTCTTCCAGCTGGACTAGTAATCAGATTGACATGAGACAAATTAACAGGAGAAAATGTCTAAATATGTTACATATGTACTTACTGGGGTTCCATATGAATATGGGTGTTGTAGTTTGGGACTTCAAAGGGAAGAAAGGTAGTTCACATGGAGATTGAAAAGCAAATGTTTGGTAAATAAATGTTTGCTGGGCCATCTTTAACAATGGGACACAGTGAGGGCTTTAATCAAACAGGCCTTGCTAGGTTCTTCCCTGTGTATCACACACTAATTCATATTAAACTACAGTTATCTATGATCATATCTTCCTTACTGGAGGAGGTTCTCTATGTACATTCTTTCAGGCAGAAAGAGGGAAGTTCTAACTTTCTTCCTGATTATTTTTTCTTTCTTGAAAATGACCAGCTTAAAATAATCAATATTCCAAAAGGCATATTTTGGGATGGAAAACTCTGTTTTCCCTTGGAGGCATTGCCCATAAGTGTGGCTGACTTAGGTTTAGATTTCTGACATGGGCCCTGCCACTGGGGCATCCTGCATTTTGTGGGTACCATTATACAAATTACCTTTATCAATGTCCATTCAGTAATGGGTGATAATCAGGAGTTGTTAATACCTTAAATAGGAAAAACAAGTTTAGCAAATATATTAATCTAATTTGTGGATAATATGATATTGAAAGAGTAGAAAACTATTTTATAAAAGTGAATCAAAATCTCCAATATCTCAATAGACTAGGAAGATACAATTATACACAAGACTACAGGGTACTTTACTTAGCTATAAAATGCTATTTGCTCAACTATACATTGGGAAAAATATGGGAGTTGGCAACAGTGTACATAAAAATATTTTATGAGGCTTTGTTAAATCCTGTATGTGTCTACAGTACAATATACATGCCAGAGAAGCTTACACAATTTTAGTCTGCACCTACCAGGAGTTTACTAAGTACTTCTCATAGTACACTTCGATTATGAAATTAATTCTGCACATAAAGCTTCATCAAAATAAGTTGGAGCACATTCAAGAGTGACCAGGGTGAGAAAGAATCTCAGAAGCATTCATATTGGAAAAATATGAAAAAGCTAGAGATGTCTCAAGCATCATATAACTGTGTTTAAATAGTTACAAGATTATCCATGTGGAAAAGGGATTGGATTTACTTGTATGTTCTGCTCAATCTCAGCACTTCTAAATCTTCTTTCCTTGCTTTATGTTTTCTCTTTAACACACTCTATTAACATACTATATATTTTACTTATTTTTATTTGTTACCTGCCTGCCCCCCCCGCCCCCGCATCCCACTAGGATGAGAGTAGGATATTTATCTACTTTATTCACTTACTAATGCCCAGAAAAGTACCTGGCACATAGTTGATGCTTAACAAATATTTTAATGAATGATGAATGTCCCTAAGAAATGAAACTGGGATAAATGGGAGAAAGCCTCAGGGATTCACATTTTGTTCTAGAGTAAGGGGAAACATTGTTAGGAATGTTAAAACTTTCTGCCCTGTCTCAGAAAGCAGTGAGTACACCAATTCTGGAAGTGGTCAAACTGCTGCTGTCTGAGAAACACTTAGTAGAAATACTATAGAAATGATGCTAGTTTGTATTTGATCCTAGATAATTGAATTTCTTGATGAGATTTTATAATTTTCTAAAATATATTTAGACTAATTTTCTTTCTTACTGCTGAAAACCAGTACGTCCTCAAATTAAACTTCCAGGTTAAATGCAGTTTGTGCTATAATATTATTTGGTCTTGAACTTAAAAGAGGTACATTTAACAACTCTTCTTGATTTTATGTTCCCCTATTATTCCCCAAAAGCAGTGATTCTGAAATACAGACCTCTCAAAATTTAGGAACAGTTATTATAGAAACATCCCAGAAAATAAGTCCTATAGAAGATGGAAGAGACCAGAAAGAAAGTGATCAAATAGAAGACAGCCACATGCAAGGAAAAAGAATAGTACAAACATATTCAAATACAGATGTCAAGACCCCAAAGGTATATACACTTTTTTCTTAATTATAAGCTATGTTTTTAATTTTATTTTATGCTTCATTACTTAAATCAAATTTTGTTGCCACTGATTTAATGTGAATCCTTAAAAATGAACTTGTCTTGGAAATATGCAGTGCAGATACACACTTCTTAATAATTTCAACTCCAATTTGTTACTATTTTTTGTATAGATAAACTGGAAATAGGTATTATCCTCCTAAATATAAATCTTAAGGTATTTATGTCTCAGCCCAAAATTAAAAGTGGTATTTATTTTCAGGTATATACCACATGTAGAAAATTATGTATTTTATTAGCCTTTGTGATGATAAAGTTATTTAGTTTAACTAAATATATAAATTTCTAGAATTTACCTAATTTTCCAAAGTGTTTTAAATCTTAAAATATTAATGTTCCAAAAAATTAGTATTTCAAACAACTTATTAGTTCTTACTATGGATACATCATGTCACCAAAAGGTTTATGTGTTCAGCATAAATCAGTGAAAAACAGGAAAAATAATTTCGCTGTAAAAATATCATCTTTTAATTAACCTATAGGGTTCTTTTAAAATTAGATCCAAAAGTGTTTATTTTTTGAGGTCTCATAAGAACTTTGGAAGAAAAAGTTCAAGGATAACAAAAGTTTCTTTTAGTTACCACCAGAATAAAGTTCAGATGAAGCATTATATGCTATGTCTGCTGATTCATTGATTTATTGGTAAATAGATAAATTTTATAGAAATCTCTATAAAATCTATTTTGCCACATATTACTCAGGTGGGAATTTTGTTTAGTTGCAGTCATTTATGTATAGCACAATGAGTTTGTAAATAAAAGTAACTCATAGTCAATTCATCCTATCTAATAAAAGAGAAACATGGTAATTAGCCGTACCCCGCTACCCTTTCCCATTGGCTAATCAGGGCGATATGCAAATTAACTGCCAGCCAAGATGGCAGCCGGCAGCCAGGCACTGAAGCGAACATGAGGCTTGCTTGCTTCAGTGA